GTTATTTCCACTGCTCTGAGTGGAAGCTGTATTCAGGTGGGACTAGCTATGCCTTCCTTCAGTTTCTCTCCTACAGCTATGAGGTGTCCCTAATAGGAGGTAGAGCCGATTCTCACCCAGCCACCACCAGAAGGGCCTCAGTGCCAGAACACACCGGCAGCGAAAGCCACAGCTTGCAGAAGGCTTCACATGTGAGCTGCTGACCTCAAACGCCAACTGCTAGTGTGAGTGAGCCTGTCAGAAGAGGGAGACAGTTCCATACGCTGTCATCCCAGATCCCAGTGATTTCTCTGTGCAGAGAAACATTTCACACCAACGCCACACGTTACCCAGAAAGCGTGATTCACTTACAGCAATGGCAGCCTTGTAGCATTTGGGCACTAACCTAGTGAATGGAAAAGCTTCTCACAAACAAGCACAGAAGACTTAAATCCTACCAGTTCAGTGACAGTAAAGATGTAGTCTAACAAGAAAGCAAGCTTCACAGCTCAAGGTGTAAGTTACACCTTTTGCTTCTCTGCCTGAACTTCACTTGAGAACAGAGCAGTGAGCTATCAGCAGTGCACATTAAACTTGGGGCAGGCTCTGCTGTACTGCTCAGTCCCTGAACACTGTGTCACCAGAGACCATGTGGAAGCCATCAGTGAGGCTCCCAAGGGGAAGCCCTCCTGTTTTCACACAGGCAGCTAAGTCCTACAGCCAGTGCAGCAGCCCTCAGACTTGAGGGATTAGCTTCAGTTTCACCTGTACTGCCTCAGTGTTCAGCCTTTAATGTCAGCATAAAGTTTACTGTATAACAACTGTATCGTCAGATACATGAGTCTCAGAAGAACTGGGGATTCAGCAGCCAAGTAGGAGACAAATGGGTTTTTGTTTGTTTGTTGTTTTTTTCTGACAAAGTGATGTCGCAATTAGTTTTAGATGGCAGGATAAGAACATCTAAGATATTTAAACATCAGTATTAATATTACAGCACTACTGTACCACTGAAATGAAGTTTACAGTCATCTTACCAATTGCTTCAGGCCATCTAGAAATAAAAGCAGCCAAGAAAGCATCTGCTCTGCGCTGATGGTTGTGAAGATTACCTTAGCACATGACTAGCGTTAGAAACTTGAAAACTTGTCCAAGAGGTTATCATTGCAGATGTTCCAGAGCTAGAGCTTGCTACCAGCGCCAGCAGAAGTACACAAGCAGTTTCTTTCTCTGTACCACGTCTCTTGCTGGCCAGAAATCTTTCATTAGGAGCAGAGGTAATTAACATGAGTGAAATATTCTTGAAGCCAATTCAGAAGCTCAAGCAGTTAAAACACACTAAGACTACATGGAACAAGCTGTATCCTACAGTACTTTCTTGGTTAGAACAGGACTCACTGTTCTAATAGTAACATATTGTAATGTGATTTTTAATACTTCACACAAGAATGAATCCTGTTCCTCAACACAGCTGCATAATTTATGGAAAAGCACATCAGATCAGCTTCTTTGGTAGTTTGCAAGGAATTCAGCTATTTAACATTAAAGACCCAAGGACAAACAAGGACAGGAAGAAAAATCATTACTATAGCTCCATACATAGTTACAGTTTCTACTTAGGCAGGAACAACTGCCACCCAACCAAAACAGTATCTATAACCAAAAGCTATGTATCATAGACAACAAATCTGTCCTGCTAGGGGACGCTTCTCTAGGCACTTATTCCTTCATTAAAATGGAAATCCCTCCAACAGTAAGGACATCTGAAACATTAAAATGCTTCAGCTGTTAAGTAATAGTTTGACCCTTGCAATGCAATGATGTAAGCTCAAACTGAGCACCAAAATTCAGTTATTGAAAATCCATTTTGTTTCTCTCTTTTGTTTTAGATCTCCTTTATATATAGCCCTTTGCTTTGTGTTTTTTTTGTTTGTTTGTTTTTTGTTTTTTTTTTGTATGTCCTTCTCTGGTTTCTCCCTAGGTTTAGTAGAGCATGCCTAAAGACACCTGCTCTGCAGAGCCTTACCAGTGGTGCTGCAGTGAGAAGACAACACAATACAGGCTCCTCAGCACAAGCTGCCATGCTGCTTACTCCTCCAGAGGGAATGGCAATGCTGCAAGAGCCTTTTCAGCACTTTTTGCTGAGGTCCTCATGTGGGGTTTTAACTAGTAACCAGACGCAGCAGGGAGTTTGCATTGTTCTGTGGCATTCCAGTGAATGCTTTGGAACCTGTTGGAACCTTCACTGTTCTACTGCCTATTACCTTCCCTTTACAGCAGCACTAAGCTTGAAGCTTTCCCCCTACCTCCAACCAGCATTCCTTTCAAGGAGGAATATGGCATATTTCCATGCACAAAACAAGGATGAAAATTTAGTGAGTGCCCTCACTTCCCATTTCTTAGTCCTGTTCAGTCACTGGGGGTACAGATCCCTGGTCTACCACAAATTCAAGGCTGTTCCTAGGACAGCTTTTGATTGCTGCAGCCATGCTATGCTTCTGCAAGCACACACTATTTTCCTGTTCTAGTATTTTATTTTTTATTTCAGCCACTAATGGTTCTGCCACAAATGGAGCACATTCGTGATGGTCAGGAATTGGCCACAAAAAGCAAGGAAACATAGCTCTGTCTTTCTGTATAGAAAGATATTGTCTTCTATCTTTCTAGGTCGGAAAGATAGAAGACAATTCAATGTCCAGATGGAGGAAAATAGGGCTTAGTGGCACAATCTATTTAATCTGCCATGAGAGAGCACTGCTGAAATTCATCACACAGTAGGAGATGCAAGAGCCAGCCCAGTCAAGCTCCCCATCTTTGCAAGTCAAGCTGTGGGGTCAAGGAGAAGAAATGGCAAGACTTGTCTTGTCACACAATTCCAGATTTCATGCCAGCAGAGAGAAAGAGGCATGAAGGAAGGGAATAAGAATAGAAAGTCAAGCCTGATTATCTTTTTCCACATGGGAACATTCTTCAGACAGGCATTTTCCAAATGTAGTCAGCTGATCACTTGCACCATGCTCTTCAGACCTACAAGAGTACAAATGATCAAGCAATCCCATAACAGAGCAGACAATTTCTTCAAGTCTGTCAAGTGAGGAAGAAAAATCATAATAGCCCTGGACTTTCAAGTTATTTGCAGGACACCCAAGATATTAAACTTACTGTGTAGTTTTACTTGGAACAGTTATTAACTGTCAGTGGGCACAGCAGACATACAAAAGCCAGATGTTGCCCACAGGACACTGATAAGCCCAAATGCTTCGTGTCACTGCTCACAGTTTCACTGCAGGAAGAAACATCAAGCTTTGTACAACTTTTGAGAGTCAGGAGTACCTCAGCAGTCCAGTGGATATCACCTGCTCTTGTAATTTACCTTGGTATCCACACAATTATCAATTATCTTACTTCATCTGAAAGTTTGATCCTGCATTGGCACAAGAAATACAGATGTACCATTCTTGGTGCTACCCTTAAACGTTCATCATTTTCTGCAAGCAGCAGCAAGCCATAATTCTGTGCTTATGCATTCAGTGACGCTGCTGGCTGCCTAGGTTAGCAGCAACACTGCTGCAGTAAGAGGGAAATGCAAAAGAGAAAGATCAAGAACTTGTTTCTAGCATTACTGCTTCTCATTTAAACTCATAGAGAAGGGCTGGATCAAAACTGCTGTTTGCCTTTAAAAGCATTGAAACTTGCACACATTGTAGTTCTAGTGCTTACCATACAGAAGAGAAAGGGTAAGCATCACACCTAGCAACTGAATGCCTACAGGATTAGTCCCCAGAACTACCGCACTGACCTCACAGGTCAGGGAGGGTTCCTGAAGGGAGAATAGTCTTGATCACTAGTCTATATGAGAAACAGTTATCAACAAGTAGGCCAAATTCTCCATCTTTCTGTGCACACAGGCAAGACACTTGGTGGGTGAGAAGAGAGGCTTCACCTGTGAAACATCCTGGAAGTCCACGGCCTCCCACTAAAAAGCTTAACATTAAAACATCAAGGCAGATCCTTGTACAGAAGTGTAGACATCGGTGCTCATTTCAGCTGACGTTCTCCTCAGCTATGACGGGGACAATACCAAAGTTGGTTCACTGATTTCAAGCAGTCAGTAAATCAGTAGCCCCTTGTATTTGCGTTTCCATTCTCCTGAAGCAGTTCCCATTCCAAAGATGACACAACACAGGGAGTAATTAAACTGCCTTGTAAAGTACAGCGTATTAAAGTGGCCTATATGGAAACTGTTTGACAGACAGGGTCACTGTGCAATTATGCACTGCCAACAGGACTTTTCATTTTGTTCTTTGTTTCAACTGCTCCTCATTAAAGCATTTAGATACCGGTGCTTATCTGGGGCCCTTGTCACCTAGCTAGATGCTTAGTTGTCACCTCAAAGCTCCTCTCAATACGGCACCACTCCAACTTTGAGGCTCAGGCTCTGCGTCAGGTCATACAGATGGATGCATAAGCACCCTTACGGTTCCCCATCCTGCCGAACGGGTCCCCAAGGATTTATGGCACACACTAGATCTCAGTTGCCGCTTTCCAACAGCTGCTGTTACACATCTGGCCGTAAGAGAGGCTGCGCGGTGCGGCTGCACACAGGGACACCAGCACAGCCACAGCTCTGAGCAGCGACTAATTGCCAGCGTGGTCGAACAGCAGCTGTGTTAAAAAGCTAAACCACTGCACCCCAGCCCCTTATCGCATTGTTGGGGTTCTGAAGGCTCCTCATCTCGCCTAACCGCGGTGGCAGTTCATAAAGCACCAGGCTTCACAGCATCCAGCCCGATGGGGCGAGGAGGCGCAGGGTCAGCCCCCCAACACGCCGGCGGGGCCGGAGCTCCCCCATTTACCGACCTGTCCCGCAGCACGGACCTTCGCGAAGCGGCCCCAAGCACCCATCAGGCACCGTCACGCCCCAAAAGCACCCGCTCACCCCCCGCCGGGCACGGAGCGAGGGGAGCAGAGGGAGCGCGGAGCCCCCCCGAGCCCTGCCCCGGCGGGGAGCGGGGCTCACTTACCCGGGGCCCCGCGGCTCGGTGCCCGCCGCCCTGGGGCAGATGCGCCGGCAGCAGCAGCAGCGCCAGCAGCAGCGGGCGAGCCCCGGCGCTGCGCCATGCCGCGGGCAGCAGCAGCAGCGACGGCATCGTCCCCTCGGCTCGGCGGAGCGGCGGCGGCAGGGCGGCAGCAGCGGGACGGGCTGGGCAGGCAGGCGGGCGGCTGCGCCCGTCCCTCGGCGGCAGGTTCCCCGCCTCGGCCATGGGGATGCCCGTTATAAAGCCGCGGCCGGGCGGGGCGGGGCCGGCCCGCACGCCCCGCGCCGCGCACCCATGGCAGCGCAGCCGCCAAGCGACCGGGGCCAATGGCGGGGAGGCGGCGGAGCCCCCCCCCCCCCGCCCTACCCCGTCCCGCCCCGCCGTGAGGCGGCCGCCGCAGGTTGGCGGCCCCGAGCCCTGTGGTGACAGCTGAGGGGAGGCAGGGCCCCGGGAGGCTCCCCCGCCGCGGGTCGCCCGGCCCTTTGTGTGGGACCGGGAGGCCGCCCGGAGCCCCCGGGCTGTGGGGGCAGAGCGGTGCCGAGCCCCTGCCCACCTGCCTCAGGGACCCTCGTTTGGATGAGTTTGGTGGCGGGGCTGAGACCCTGCACATCAGTCACTACACACACACCATACATTGTGTCCCTTCGGGGGGACGTTTCTCGTGCTCGTGCAGAAAAACACGCGACAGGCAGCTTCTGCACACAGCATACATGTATTTGGCTTCCTGCGCTCAATGGCCTTACGAGAGCCAATATTCACACTTGTAAAAATTCCCTAGAGTGTATCCGCTAGGTATGGGGAGGGGCCGCTACGCCCACATGGAGAACCTTGTTACACAGCAGAAGTCATACAGTTCTGGCATCTTATCAGAGCAAAGCAGGGTGTTTAGCTATAGCGGTTGCTTTCATCTTTCTTTTCTTCTTCTCTCTCTCTTTTTTTTTTTAAGTATTTATTTTAAAATGCCAGTATGTAACATTTTGTCATTAGCCTCGGCAGTATGAGCCGTTTGTTACTCACACGGAGCTCTGCCAGTATTCATTATTCTTGGCTTGCAGATCCCTCTAAAGCTCCAAACCCGGCACCCCATGCAAGCCTACTGATGTGCCTTAGCCCTAACCCTCACCACTCTCTGCTATCCCGGTCCTAAACTTTGCCAGCTCGTCTTCAGCATGGCCTGCGGTATCCTCTGATTTTCCATTTCAAAGTCTCTCTGATCTACACCTGAACTGCTGCCATTCCGCATGATACGAGCACAGACCTTGAGGGGAGGCGGGGAGGGAGAGCTGGAAAATCTGTACATGAGTGTCCTTGTGTACATCAGGATCGCCTCTGCTGAGGTTGGACAAGTTATACCAGTGCACACCTGGCACCTGCAGAAAGAGAGGCAGAATCTAGCTCACTTTTGTTGAGGTGGGGATCCGACCGCTGAAGGACCACATCACCTTGGAGTTAAGTCTTGGTGAAATTCCAGTCCGGATAACCATTTTTCACTTGCCTACAATCCCCTCTCCAATTTCAGGGGGAGTTTTTTGCATCTGATCCGCTTCGTGTGCTGCCTTCATGTGTTCTTTAACATTTGCACTTTAAGTGTGGCTGTATCCCTTTGGTATATTTTCCACAGATAAACTCATGGATACCAGGACCTCTCTGCTAAATAAATGCTCATTACCTCCATGAAATATATACATATATATATATACATATATATATATATATATATGTTTTTCCTGTTCCCTAATAGAGAGTATACATGCTGGAAGCCTACACTTCAATGCCTACGTGGCCTTGACACCAGCAGCATCTTAACAACAAGTAGAAGTCCCAGAGAGGGTCAGAAATCCCCAGTAGCTGAACGCTTTGACTACTTTATGGCCAAAGCTGTTTATAACCACAAGCGTGTACCACTCCACCCTGGAACAATATTTCCATGGCCAGCTGTTTTTCTGTAAGGACATCTATTTTCTTTGCGGAAAGTAATGGCATTAGTGTGATAACTGGGCCAGAGGAGACTCCACAGGCTGGCCACACAACCATTAAATCTCACTCAGCTGTGCTGAGCCCAAAAACCATCCAGGAGGACATTCAGTTACATGGTAGAGACACCAGCAGAGAGAATAATTCTCTGTGTTCAGTGGTGAATCACATTCGCTGCTGAAAATTCACACCTAACTCTTCAGCTAAGCGGGTGCTACCTTTGGTATAGGTGCACTTTACGGGTGTGCTGTGTTTAAAGAAAAGTCTCATTAAGCAAACTGCCCAAACAAAGTTTTGTGCCCCTGCATTTTCCATTAATTTTCTCCAGATTCCTGGCAAGGAGGATGTGCCTGTCTTGGGCACCCGTGGCACTGCCGAGATGGTGATGAGCCAAGAGGAGGCCAGTGTCCGAGCGCCAGAGGAACTGGTGCCTCGCCTTCTCCCTTGAGCTCTTCTGTAAATCCCTGCCATCCCTCGGAGGCTGCAGTGCCAAATGCTGCACTGGCACAGTGCCACTTCAGTCGACGGTGTCTCACCAGCAAAGAACTTGCCCAGGGTGATTAACCGAAAACTACAAAGAGCGAGGGGCACAGAACTAGAAGCGAAGTTGTTCTTCATGTCCGGGCATTCATACGCCAGGCCCGGCATTTGGATGCTTCCGAGCGAGATGTAAGCTCAGCAGTAATGAATTCAGCTATGCAATGCTGCTGGAGGTAGCACTGAAGCTAGTATCGTCGGGGCTTGTTGTGTGCAGCGGGTACAGCCTACAGCTTGCACCTCCGGAGACTTCCCCCAACATGTGCCTATAGGTGTTGATGATTAATATCTTGTTGCCATGGTGCACGCATAGCACGTGCACTGCCGCAAATCCATGGCACAAGGCATACGTATTGGTGGTCTTGACAAGTGTTCAGGGAGAACCGTTTGATTGCTGTGATTATTTGCCTTTGCTGCTACTTGTCTTGTCCTCGGACAAGTTTCAGGAGATTGCTGTCCTGTTTTGAACGGTATTGGCATCCACAACAGAACCATCACGGGATCTGCCTGCTGCTGCTTCCACCAGAGAAGTTTAGCTCCTACAAGTTTAACAGCAACTGCTACTCATGCTTGCAATAAAGAATAATTCACTGCCTCCAAATATGAGCTGATTGCTTTTAGAGACCAAATTAATGCTTGTGGTTCTTTCTTAAGTCAGTGGGTGTTACAATCACTCCTGCAGCAGGCCTAGATTTAGTTCCTTTTTAGAAAAAAGAAATAGAGTCTTTTCTACTAGGCTGACACCTCCAAATCTCCATCCAAAAGTGAGTTCAGGGCAGCCCAGAATTAAGACTGAAGAACCACACTTGAACACACTCATGACCCTATGCAGATTGAAATACCAACCACAGAAGACGAGTCTGTGCAGTCACCCCAAACTGAAGCAGAACATCATTTCCCCAGCTTCCCAGACACAGGTTGAATATGGGGGTAGTGGGGAAGAGTGAATTTGTCCCTTAGGTCAAATAAGGCTGGAAATCAAAAGTCCCTGGATTTGGAAGGACTCAAGTCACGCCACATGGCAACGTCACGGTGCCATCCCACTGTCAGCACAGTTGCTGCCATGGGCAAAGCATTCACAGTCTTTAAAGATGTAGAGGCACATTGCTCTTAGCATGTCTTGGGGTGGACTTGATGGATTATGTCAGCAAAAAGGAGGCTCAATTTCTTATGAAAGCTAATTACCTGTATACCTGAATGCAACAGAAACCCTGTAAGTGTCCTATTGGGCTTTTCATCCTTGAAGCTCTTGGCAGAATGCTCACCAATACTTGACCAAAAAGCTTTGTTAAAAATATGACAAGATAGCAAGTCTTTTCCCATTAAACCCATCTGGAGTCCACCACATTATTTATTATACTTTATATAGATATTCTGTGCAGGACTTTGCTCTAGAAAGTGTGTTAACTTGTGTGGGTCCTGGCTGCACTTCTCTGGCTTGCCAACAAATTTTCAGTAGTTCTGGTCATTCCCCATCACCGCCAAACCCTCACCTCCTACTAGTACCTGTCCATCTGATCGTGCTACAATACCATCACACCCCTTTGTTATTCCACCACAGGAACAGGCTGCTGGCCACACACCAGTGTTATTATGAAAAAATAAACATAAAAAGGAATGCAGTAAAGTGCAAGATGCAGTAAAGCCCATTTGAGCTTCCATATTATTTTTCATGGTGCCGAAGCACATATCTGTTTTTAAGGGAGGAACTCCCACAATGACCTGGCTGGTGTTAGTATGTAATCTGCCAACTCCTTGAAAAACAAGGATACTCTTTTTTACCATTTTACTTGGATTTTGCAAATTCTAGGTTATAATGTTAAGAATTAGAATGAGGCCAGCATAGTGTTGGTAAATGATGGATATTTATGTGGCACGTTCATTGTGCATTCTTTGAATTTTGTCAAGTAAATATAATATCACTTCAGGCTCTAAAAAGAATGCCAATCGACCATATCTTTAACCTTTAGAATCTTTAAAAGTGCTTAGGAACTTGCCAATTTATTTTTATTTTTTTTATTATTATTTTTTTTTCGCTTTTGAGTCAGCTATGAGATTGAAGTTGGGTTGGACTCCATATGGACTCCAGAAGAGAAGAGCTCCGTTCCAACCTCGTTTATCAATCTTATCAAGGCAAGGATTCTTTCTGCTCATCCTGTCTACCTGGGTGGGATAGATGGAAAGTGGGTGGGGAAAGAAATACCTCTGCACTGAAATTTTGAGGACTGGGTACTCTAGGCTGCAATTGCCAAGGAGAGCAGGTGGTGAACCTCCTGTACGTGTGAACCGTCTGCCCAGAGGAGTGGGCTCACCACTGAATGGGCAAAAGAAGTACAGGGGGATCAGGGCACAAGGAAGGCAGGGTCTTTTGTCTGACCTCTGCTTCAGGTGATCTTCCACTGACATAGACAACAGCAAAAAGGAGGACAAGGCAGATGAGGATCAGGCCCTGTGAGCTCAACAATGACATGGGATGTATTTATTTATTTTGTCACTTGAGCACATTCACCTTTTCTTATTGGAGGGATACTCAGACCTTTGGATTCAGGTATTTTGTGTCACAGGTTTACACCCCCCTCATCTATCTTCCTCCACCAACAGTCCTTATCCTCAGTAAGCTCAGAATCAGACTGGTGTCTTAAACAGCATGAAGGAAGCTCAGAAACATATTTTAGCAAAGAATCTTTGGCATCATGATAGCCACCCTCTGTCTTCCGAGCTGGGGACAAAAGGGTGACAAAACAGCAGGATACAAACAATATGCCTTGATCCTACAATTTTTGAG